CTTAGGGTCAACCATTGTATGATAACACTAGGGATAATGTCAGGCTAGTTCCCCTTAGTTGGTTTTTTCTTTCTTTGCATTTTTGCATCTTAAAACAAAAATTTGTTTTCTTGGAAAATCATAAGACATTTCTAATGAACCCAAACTCCTCTTCAAAGTAAAAGATACAAACCAATCTTACTTTTTCTATGTTATCTTAGCCGATGTTTCACCATCGCACATTTGTTTGAAGTCGATGTTTCGCCATCGCACATGTTTGTTATCCTACCTTGATTCTCAATATCATCGTTAGGTGTGATGTTTCGTCATCTATTTTATTGATGTGTTGCCATCTTTGCCATGATATCTTATTATCTTTTAGCCGATGTTTCACCATCGCACATTTGTTTGAAGCCGATGTTTCGCCGTCGCATATGTTTGTTATCCTACTTTGATCCTCAATATCATTGTTAGGTGTGATGTTTTGCCATCCTTTTTATCATTTGATGTTTTGCCATCTTTATCATGTTATCTCTTGGTCGATGTTTCGCCATCGCACATTTTTTTGAAGCCGATGTTTCTCCATCGCATCTATTTGTTATCCTGCTTTGATTCTCAATATCATTGCTAGGTGTGATGTTTTGTCATCCGTTTTGTCATTTGATGTGTTACTTTGTTATTATTTAGTCGATGTTTGATCACTTCATTTGTGGGTTGTTTCATTCGATGTTTTGCCATCTTGACTATCTTTGTTTGTCTTAATTAAAAAACACAAACCAACCAAAACATGAAAGCCGAACTACGGCTGCTCTGATTCCTTAAAAGGGATACATAGACATTGGGATATGGCCCAACCGAGCACAACTTTTTTTCCCTACATTATTTTCTTTTTCCTTTTGCAAGCATTCCCTTTTCAGTTTTAAGCCATAAACGTAGGATTTGACCACACCCATTATATTAGACAACAAGAGTGGATACCGTAGAATACTACGGGCGTGTGGGGTGCTAACACCTTCCCCTCGCGTAACAGACTCCCTTACCCGATCTCTCGGTCGAAAGACCGTGATTTCTCCCTCTTCAGGTTTTCTCGATGTTTACCTTTCCCTTTTGGCGGGATAAAAGACGTTCGATGGCGACTTCATTGATGTTTCATTAACATCTAGATGACAGGTTCCGGCCGCGTAGTTTCAACCATAACTAAGAATGGTATTTTTATTGGGAAATGGTACACAACTGGTGGCATGTTTAAGTTGAATGTTGATTTGAATAAAATTTCTCCTTATGTTTACTCTTTGTGTGATTTTAATATTTGGTATGCTATACTTTGTCACATTAATAAGCGAGTCATTTCTAATGCAAGCAACTTAGGCCTAATCCCTAAATTAAATGTCAATGATACAAATAAGTGTGAATATTGTAGTCAAGCTAAAATCACTAAGACTTTTCATAAATCAATTATTGAAGAATCTGATCCTTTAGATCTTATGCACTCTGATATATATATGAATTAGATGAAACTTTAACTAGAAATAGTCAAAGTTATTTTATCATATTTATTGAAGATTGCTCTATTTATACTTTGTATACTTAATGAAGAATAAAAGTGAAGCACCTGACATGTTTAAGATGTATGTAATTAAAATTGATAATCAACTTAGTAAGAAGATTAAGAGACTTAATAGTGATAGAGGAACTGAATATGATTCTTGGTTATTTAATGATTTTTATAAAGAACATGAAATTGTACATGAAACGACTGTTCCATATTCTCCTGAAATGAATGGTAAAGCATAAAGAAAAAATAGAACTCTTAGTGAACTTGTTGTTGCAATTATAATGAATTTCGGTGCTGCACCTCACTAGTGGGGGGGAATATTTATTGATTGTTTGATATATCCTGAATAGAGTCCTCAAGTCAAAAAGTAAGATCTCTCCTTATGATATATTAAAGAAAATACGACCAAACTTGTCTTATTTGAGAACTTGGATTTGTTCGACTTATGTCAGAATTTCGGATCCAAAATAAGTTAAACTCGTTAGTAGAGCATATGTGTATTCATTGGGTATGCAACAAATAGTAAATCATATTAGTTTTATTACCTAAATGCAAAGGTGATCATATAATAAAATGATGCTAAATTCTATGAAGACAAATTTCCTTTCAAATCGAGAAACAGTGGAGGCACACAATCGAGTCAAATTCATGTGATAAGAAGCACATAAAGCACCGGCAATGTAGAAATAGAGCTTCGACGAAGTAAAATTGTAAGAGTTTCTAAAGACTATGGGTCCAATTATGTATCTTATAATGTAGAATAAGATCCAATAAATCTTCAAGAAGCATTGTCATCTCTGGATGCTGATTTATAACAATAAGCTATTAATGATGAGATAGAATCTCTATAATCTAACAAGACCTGACACTTAGTAGACTTGCCTACTATTTGAAAACCAATCAATTGTAAATGGGTTTTGAAAAAGAAACTAAAACTTGATGGAACTATTAATAAATATAAGGCTCGCCTTGTAGCCAAGGGTTTTAGACAAAGAGAAAATATAGATTACTTCGACACCTTCTCTCCAGTCACTAGAATTACATCCATTTGGATACTTATTTCAATAGTTTCTATTTACAACTTAATAGTACATCAAATGAATGTTAAAACAACTTTTTTAAACTGTTACTTAGAATAAGAAACCTACATGGAACAACCATAAGGGTTTGTGATCCATGGACAAGAAAACAAGGTCTGTAAGTTAGACAAGTCTCTGTATGGGCTAAAACAAGCTCTTAAGCAATGGCACAAAAAGTTTGATAACTTAATGGTATCGAAGTGAGTGAGAGTGACAAATGTGTTTATTACTAATCTGAGAATCTCATTTACAATATCATATGTCTATATGTAGACGATCTACTCATATTTGGATCAAATATTCAGACCATTAATGATATGAAATCATTATTGTGCAACAACTTTGATATGAAAGATCTAGAATAAGCGAGTGTGATTCTTGGTATTAAGATCACGAGATCTGAGCAAAAAATTTCTTTGGATTAATCATTATGTGGAAAAGATATTGAAGAAATATAATTAATTTGACTGTAAACATGTGAGTACACCATACGATGAAGCATGAAACTGTTTAAAAACACTGGTGAAAGTGTCAGACAAACATAATATGCTAGCATCATTGGCAGTCTTAGGTGTGCCACTGATTGCACTAGACCCGACATTGCATATGTCGTAAGGTTGTTGTGCAGATTTACTAGTAGACCGAGTAATGACCATTGGCAAGCTATTGAGCGAGTCATGCGGTACCTAAAAAACTATGAATCTCGGGTTGCACTATCAGAGATTTCCTGTTGTACTTGAAGGATACAATAATGCAAATTGGAACACATTATCAGATGATTCCAAAGCAACTAATGGTTATGTATTTAGTATAGCTGGAGGAGATGTATCTTGGAAATCAAAGAAATTGACTATTCTGATTCATTCCACGATGGGATCTGAGATGATAGCATTAGCTACTGCTAGTGAAGAAGCAAGTTGGTTAAGATGCTTACTAGCTGAGATCCCGTAATGGGAAAAACCTACGCAGGCTGTGTTGATCCATTGTAATAGTACCACGACTATTGCAAAAATTGAGAATCGTTATTGTAATGGTAAAAGACGTCAAATTAGAAGAAAGCACAACACGGTTAGAGATTGCATCTCCAAAGGAGCTGTAATAGTGGATCATGTATGCACTGATGAAAATTTAGCAGATCCTTTGACGAAAGGATTAGCTAGAGAAAAAGTCCAAAATACATCCAAAAAAAATGGGACTAACGCCTATAGAGAAATTAGTTTTTCATGATAGTAATCCGACCTAAATGACTGGAGATTTCAAGAAATAAGTTCAATGAGTATAACAAGTTGTGAGCAATATAAGATAATCATGCAAGTGAAGCATGAATCTCGAAGTGATGAGAGGATGAAATAATGGAAACTCTTAATGAGATTTATACTCTATATGAAGGAGTACCTAGGCTACAAGAGTACTCTTGATAGACCCACCTATGTGATTGTGGAACTTAGGCCGGTTCCTATTGAATTTCAGGCAGAATTCCTAGAGCTTTCACTAAACCGTGATACGCGTGGATGACCATTAAAGCACGGGCTATTAGAATACACCTTAAGAAAGATTGTGTGCGGATCTGAAGTCTGAGATAGAGTTCAAGACATTTGTGTCACTCTTGTTGAATCAGAATCCTACTTGCTACGCAAAGGTTCAAGTCGTAGACACCTTTAATTATGCACAATCTTATAAACGTTTGACGTTACTTTTAAAATCACCTTTAAATTCAAATGGAGATTGATGGAAACTTAACGTAAATTTGAAAGGATCATCCTATTTTAATGAGAGTTAATTCTAAATGATTATGTGGAATTAAATTATTAATATTAATTAATTATTAATTAATAATGTGTCACTCATCAAAACCCAATTTTGACTGAGTAACTCCCTCCCACTATTTTGTCTCCACTCTCCCACTACTTTCTCTCCACTCAGTTGAATCTTTTACCTATTAACGGGGTCCTAAGTTTAGTTGTTAGAAACACTAGATTTCTAAATTTTTGGAATCTCTCTTCTCCCTCTCTATTCTCTTCATCTCAAAATTATTTTTCTTTCTTTTGTATTTTTCGAGTGGTCTTGTGTGACATCTAACGACTGAAATTTTTCAGATACTATGAGTGGTTTAAACACAATTTGAAAGTGTATTTCTTCACACAATTCATCACAGTGCAAGTGATAATCTTAATTCTTTTGAGAACGAGTTGTTTTATCTTGGAGGTGTCGTGGTTATTAAAAGTTGTTTTGCATAAATTTTGGCAGTACCGCGAAATGTCTTAAAAAAAGCGTACCGTTCCACGACTCAGCCGATAACTTCCTCTGTGACAATTTTGTTTCAAGAACCGAAAACAGCATATTCCAATTCAATTCATCATGCTGTCCACAATACAAGCAAAGCAGTCTCAAGACAATGGAGAAGAAGACAAATCATATTTTACATCATGATCATGTTGATCTTCATCATAACTTGAAAATTCTGTATTGCTATGAATCATTAATACATCATCAATGTTAGAAAAACAAACATCTTTTGTTCTTGAGGAACTTCCTTCCTGAGTCTCTCTGGTTAAGGCAGAAGTACAATTGTCCATTCCATGCTTCAAAGACTCCAATGATGTTGTTGTTGATGTATTAAGGATTTCATAAGAGGAACTTTGTTTCTCCTTCACTCTTCTCTGCCATTTAGATAATGACTTTCTTACATTTTCAGATATCACTGTTTTTTTGAATCTTGATCCCATCTGCATTTTTATAACCATTATTTTTATAACCAACCATCGATGAATAAGTTCGTTAATGTTCAAACATATTTATAAGGAAAGTTGACCTGTGTGATGATAACATACAGCGGAAATGTTATGAAGCTGCACCAGACTTGTGAAACAACCCTGTCGCAATAAAAGAAATGCGGAAAATAGGTATAACTTTTTGGTGGAATTGTTATTCAGGTATTTTCTTGAAGACAGATGTATATATATACCCGAACGACAAGCGGATCACAACGAATGTTCGGTTGTTCATGAAGCAAGAAGCTTCTTTAATTTCCCACTGTACTCAAAATAAAGACTATAATTATAGATTACACATATAATTATACTTGCTTTAACAGACTCATTCTACCATCAGTTAGGCAATATAACTTGAAAAAATTATTGTTCTTACCAGGGACCATAAGAATGTTGACATTTCAAATGCGTTCTGCAAGATAACAAAACGAGACGAAGAAATCAGAACAAGTGTATCAGGAAAATAAAGAGAAAAATGGAAATTCAAGATGTTGCTTGCTTACCAAGAAAGATATCAATTGTATTAATTTCAACAGAAGCCCTGGCTTTCCAAACCAAAAGAGTTCGTCTCTTAAATTAAACCGATGATGCTTCTTATCTGGACAATCATCTATTACTTCAACGGCCAATTTTACAACGACTCGATGCAATTTAGTACCGATTATAAGGATCAACTAAAATGCAAGTGAATACCAGAAAAATCGTTAATATTACGTGCAAAAAAGTCACAGTAGATATTGTTATTAGGACTTACAATTGCTGGGACAAAGGAAAGCCAAAAGTAAAAGTTGTGTCCTGAATGAAAATCATAGTGATTAGTTTTAGTGATAAGTTCCTACCAATGTACTTATGAACTTAATCTAAAACTAGTATAAACTTACCATGAAAATTTAGAAAAATGCAGCATATTGCATATACCCAGAGAAGCACACTGTCACAAAATCAGATATACTATCAAATTAATCAGTGTAATTAGTACTACATTAACAAATTTATTATGTTAATTAGATTAAGAAAGTCATTAAATTCATTTAAAGAAAGAAAAGATACCTAACACCTACAATGTCACGAAATTCCTCGTCCATGCTTCGAAGCATGTAGTTGTGGAAATCGTAAGTCAGGGGAAGGTCATGATTCTGCAAGACATCAGAAAACAAAAATGCAAATTTTTTGCGAGCTTTTACAGTTGAAAAATGGACTTAAGTGCTCCTAAGATACACATTTTTTATGTAAGTTACAGTTATGTTGTGATAAAAAAAATTTAACTCACTGTAATGAAGCCTAAGCGCAATGCCATGTAATCGGCTCGATTGATTGAACTCCAGAATTGGCGACTAAAACATAACTGCAACGCAAGATAGTTTCATCAACCATAGAGTATTCTAAGAAGGATAGGTAGAATGTTGTAAAAAGTGCAGAGAAAAATACTGCAAAGAGTACCAGCCAAACAAGAATTTTGTGATGGCTCCAAGGATGAGATGTGTTGTGAAAAATGAATGTACTAAGCCGCTTCAATCTTATACTTGAAGCATTTTGTGAAGCATCTAAACTAAGACAATATGATCAAAAAGAACTAATACTATTAATTCACAGAATTAATGTGTTGCAAAATAAACTAATTATTGACTCGTTGTGGTTTCGAGATTCTCAGAACCTAAGCTTTGTATAGCAATAGTCTTTGCTTCATTCTCCCATGTTCTCCAGCTGTAAATCTGAATAATAGACTCTAAAATTATAAAGTTTGTGTGTGTCATTGTAACAAGAAAAATTAGAATAGGAGGAAAGTTTGATATCATGATGTTCATGACTATTTTAACCTTGATCATGGCTAGAGCAACAGCCACAAAGCTGTAGGAAACATGAGTGATCCCAAGAACAAACACAAAGCGATGAAGCTGCTCTAGGCTTTCGTAAGAAGCAAATGATTCATGACCCTGCCAAGCAAGTAACAAGTTTTCACTTAAATGTGCGCCATACTAGCACTAACACAAATAACACAAAACACTGACACTGACACGTAAAAACCAGTTATAATTATAATGTTAAAAAGTGATTGAGTGGAATCATGTAGTGTCAGATACATACTTACGTTAGACATCAGACACGTGCAAGTGTCGTGTTAAATCCACTTTAGAATTGAACTATTGAAACATCCTAAATGTGATTTGGAAGGAATAGAAAAAGTGGAAAAACTACCTTAGGACAATAACTATGCCGACCATGATTCACTTGCTCTTTGAGAATCGTCTTATTAGAATATTCTGAATTCAACCATACACTATGTTTCACAATTTCAAAACTCTTCTCCATTGCACATGGAAAAAATCTGCTACTTAATACTGATGATTTAACACAAATCTTTGCCACAAAAAGAATCCAATGGCCCATCAACAACGACAGAAGTCCAAACAGCATCAATTCTGCTTGAAATAGATAACAAAATTTCAACCTAATTTTCATGTATAATTCATCTTTTTATAGTAATATGATAGCTAAATTACATAGTGATAGTCCTTTACCTTCTTGCATCTTTTCCAAAGCAGAAAGAAGGGATTTTCTCTTAGTTCTATCCAACCACTGTGACATTAATATTCAATGTATAAGAAATTTATGTATGAATGTGACAAATTCGAAATAAATGATATATAAAGTAATGTATGTATATCTATCTATGTACCTTAACCAATTTTTTCAATGTTCCATGAGACAGGAAACTAAGAGAAACCAAGAGAGTGATGACAGTTGCAACAGCCCAAGTGGGGGTTTCTGATAAGGATCTACCTTCTCCATTTTCTGCCACCATGGTTGCTATCAATCCTCAAAAACAACATGCGGTGTCATGAAAATGTTTAGGAAAGAACATAAAAACACCTATTGTGTGTTTGGTCTGGCCTTGAATGAAGAACATAGGTTTTGGACATTAATGTGGTTGGTGGTGGATTTGTGTTGTGACAAAATGTTGAGACCGTGTCATAAGAGAATTATTTAACGGCACATGCATGTGTCGTTGTTGTTGTCGTCACGAACAAGTTAGTTCCATTATTAGCTCATTTTCCCAACTACTACTTTTTTTCAGTTTCGGTGAATCGGTCATTTTCATGTTGGATTTGTCGCATGGAAGGTCACTTATTTATTTTTTATACATTCTATTATTGAACTCTGCCAAAATTATCTTGTCTAACATTAAATAAATTTATATTTATATCAAAATTTCAAATATATTTATAAAATCATTTTATATTATTGAACTGCTAAAGAAATTATCTGATTAGTGCGCAAGCCGAGACCAAACTACCACCCTCTCCTTCTTTTGCCTCCTTAATCGCGTTTCTTCATCAATTTGTACTAGCGGCTTTCCCTTAAGTGTGGGAATCAGGTAGAATTGTGGTATCATAAAATACCATCTCATGTATTCACCCTCAATCTCCTAAGCGTCTAGCATATGGTCGCATCACTCCTCAATAGACAACATGTAGTCTATGTACTCGACATACCTCTCATCAACCTACTCTCGACAAATCATAGGCTCATCATATACGCTTGGTTGTCTTAGAATACTCCGTATGTGTTGAAATTGACGCAAAATCCGCTTTGGGAATTTTTTTTTGAAATAACTATGTATTAAATTTTTTTTTACAAATAACTATATTTCAGAACACTCTCCAAAGGAGGAGCCATCTCACTTGGCGTCTCCACTCACAATTTTGTCCTAGACGCCATCCCACTTGGCGCCTCCTCTCTCTTTTAGCCAAGTCAGATGGCGCATGCACTTTAAAAGTGAGAGAATGTGCCATCTCACTTGGCTCCTAGGGCAAAATGTTGTTTTTATAAATAATTTGTCCGTTTCTCCGTCATTTCTCACACTTTCTCGCACTGTTTTCTTATTTTTTACTTTGTTATTTGCGTCATGACATCGCCCATGATTTTTACCAGAGATGATTATGTTATCTTCTCCACCACAAAATCTCCGATGAAAATGAAATTCTGGCACATTCACTCCATGGAGCGTCTGAAGCGGGAGTTGATGCGATGACTAGATGGAGACATCGTGGAGGGGGGAAAATTAGAAGGATCCAGCGAAAATGAACAGCAACCTCACTTGCAACAGGAAGAGGACGTGTGCATGTTATTGGGTCTCCCTGTCGATGGTAAGGCGGTTAACGAATCGGTTCAACAACTCAATTCTCTGTGTGAAGAATTGTTGGACAGGGATATGGTTGAAGGTGGTGGTGCAAAAGGTCAGGGTATACTACTAACTGAGCTAAAAAATCATTATGCGACTCTGGAATTGAACGAAAATTCCTCCGAGCTAGCTAAGATAATAAAAGCTAGAACTTATATAATGATACTATTTGGAACCTTTTTATTTCCCGAAAGTACGGGAAATAGTGTAAATTTTATGTATTTAAATTTACTTAGAGACTTCGAAAAAACTAGAAAGTATAGTTGGGGTTCTGCTGTTTTAGCCCACCTATGCAGTTCCTTGTGTAAAAATGCAATCAAGGAAAAATATACATTTTATGGCTGCGCTTTTTTACTTCAAGCCTGAGGTTGGTGGAGGATGGAGTCCCTAAACCCCGTCAACAACAACACATCCGTTTTCCCATACGCAACAAAGTAAGTCATCAAGTTATATCGTTTATTACTATTCATCTCTTCACCAAATATATGATAAAAATAAAATATTTTTCATTTCCTTTAGGTATTGCGTGAGGGGTATGGATTACAGCAAGAATCCAAGATTCAATGTCGCACTATACCGCAATCTATTGGATCACCTTCGCCCGGATGATGTACGTCGTACCTTTCAACTTTTCTACTTTTAAATTATTTATATATTACGTTTTCATTAAACTGATTTAATTCTATATGCAGTTTGTCTGGAGACCATATTTGGGTTTGGGCCATGAACCAAACCCCGAGGATGCAGCAATTTGGAGCGCAAAGACTGCAATCATACGGTTCAATGTTGTGGAGATGCACCACAGCGACCGTGTGAAGATGCATTTTGGAATGCATCAAGAGATACCCAGCGATTCGACTTGTTTGTCCCCGTGGCATCTCAAAAGGGTCGACGCCCAATGGGGTCTTACCAACTGGAAAGACTTTGCTCCAGAATAGTGTAAGATGTGGCACAGGCGTCACCGACATTTCTTGCAATTCCCAGTTTTCCTCAACCATGGTAATATGCGACACACGGATCAGTATTTATCTTGGTACAGATTGGTTAGTACCCCTGAAATGCACGTGTCTCATCCAAGGTATTTGATTGACCCACGAACATAATGGGCACAACCCTCATTTCCCCAACAACAAACCCAACACACATCAACCTCCCACCAACCCCCCAGACGAAACAGAACCACAAACACCCAACCACAGTCACCACCACAATACAATTACACCCACATGCCCCACAACCAACCACAATCACCACCTCAGTACCAATACCCCCATATGCCTCACACCCAACCGCAATTTCAATCACAATACCAACACACCCGCATACCCCACACATAATTTCAGTCTTCTGTATATCCCAATATGGGCCCCTCAACATCCTACCTTAGCCCTGATTTGGGATTGTCCGAAGATTATGAACCAACCGACCCAACTTACCATCAACCACAATATCACCAAACCCCCAAACATCCTCAATACCAAACACCCCAAGATCCATTTTCTTTCTACCCCTCGTACTCAGACGACCAGTGCTACAGACCAACCATGGAACCTCACCCACCGCCAACACGACCAAACTTTGAGGGTATGGGTAACCGACTGTACCAAAGTGGATCTTCTAGATATGGAAATCTGACTGATTTCATGGATCTGGAACGCATTGACTTCGCTGAGCAATCGACCATGCCACAGCAGGAAATGCGACGAAACCCAGCACGGGAAAGGCGAGGACGGGAATGCGGAAACGGGGGTCATTACTGGGTTCTGGGGGACCACTGATTAATCTGTTTTTTTTAATGTAATAGTTATGTGTGTAATCATATTTTGTAAATAAAAAGTCAATTTTGTTGATCATATATCGAATACGTAACGCACCGCATTAAAGAAAAAAAACGCGAAAATTTTCCTACCAAATGCACTAAGGTGCCATCTCACTTGGCTTAGGGAAAGTCCTAAGCACCTAGGCGCCAAGTGAGATGGCGCCTCCCCTTAAAAATTAGGTGTAGGCGCCAAGTGAGATGGCTCCTCTCTTGGGGAGTCTTCTGAATCATTGTTATTTGTGTAATTTTTTCCGAAACATGGTTATTTGTGATTTTTTTTAATACTTGGTTATTCCAAAAAAAAAAAATTCCCGCTTTGGCATGAATCAGACTATACATAATCTATATATATTTTAATTAGGGTAGAAGCATATATTCCACGGAGAATAGAATGTAGCAAGTAGTTGTCAAATTGTAAATTTCAAAGGAGTCAACCTCCACATTTTTAGACTTAGTGCTATTTTGTGTTTTTAGCTGAGTTAGTTGGGAGTTGTTTGGTGTGCAAGTAGTCTCAGCCTATAAATAGGGAGGTACCTTATTATTGTAAAGTGTGAATCCTAATATTGTAGTAAGTAAAATAAAGAGCATAGGATTTTCTCTGCATAATTTACAACTAAGGTGTGGTTGATTCACCTTTTCTCCCAAACCCTAATTTCTCTTTTCTTCTCCAATTCATCTTTTTGACTAGGAATTCTCCAAGTTTTAGGTGTAATTCCAACATCTGGTATCTAGAGTACTAGCTATATAATTCTTGGCAAGCATAGCGCGATGAATCATTCCAATGATCATTTTCTAACGAGTCTTCTGATTCTGAAAGATAACAACTATGAGAATTGATGTAAGCAGATGAAGATCTATTTTTGTTATCAAGAACTTTGGGATCTTGGGAAGGAAGGAGTAACGTCAACTGCAGGAGGCGCTACAGATGAATAAAAGGCTGGACATAAATAATTAAAGAAGAGAGATTATAAAGCTCTCTTTATAATTCATCAATGTGTTAGTCCAGATAACTTTGAAAAGTTGAATAATGTAGAAACAACGAAAGAAGCATGGGATATTTTAGGGAAATCGTCTTGAGGCGCAAAGAAGGTGAAAGAGGCAGGGTTACAAATTCACAAAAGAGCATATGAATTGCTTCAGATGGAAGAAAGTGAAAGCATAAGTATTTTCTTCACTAGGGTTACAAAACTGGTGAATCAAATTAAGGTATGTAGACAAGCGCTGACATGAAGATCAGTTATCCCAAAGATCTTGAGGTCATTGGCTCCAAAATTTAATCATGTTGTAGTAGCCATAGAAGAATCGAAAGATCGTCAATATTGGCAAAGGAAGAGCTTTAAGGGACGCTTGAATCTCATGAACAAATAATGGTTGAAAGAGCTGCAAGAAAGTCGAAGAGTCACTACTATAAAAGTATTTTTCATAATGCCATCGGATTTTATTTCACCACGGCCAAAGGATCTACCGTGATAGAATCTATTTAATTAGACACTCTTCTTGTATTTTCATTTTTAAGTCACTTTTCACCATAATTGGAAGTTCCAACCGTGGTAAAAAGTAGTGCATGGTCATGAGTTTGAATCTTGCTGTTGTTGTTGTTCTACGACTGCATTTTTTATATTTTATTAAAAGACATAAAATAGCAGTTGTTTAATATAACTATTGTTGTATGTAGTGCTCCATCCCCAGATTTAAATCCTAGCACCTACATTTTTAATTTTTATTTATTTTTAAGTCACTTTTCACAACGGTTGGAACTTCTAACCGTGGTGAAAAGCCACTCAGGGTCATGGGGAAAATA